TGACCCTGAGAACAGTCCCTTGTTCTACAACAAATGTAGCATGGTATTTGTGATTTGGAATGATTCTGCTTGTATCTGAGGGATTGCAATTGCGGTTACTAAGTTGTTGGCAGTGGGTTGTGCCCAATCGTATAATGCTGCTTCTGGAACAAGCGGCACCACACCCTGATTGTTCGGGTCATTCCCATTATTTATGTTGTTTACTTCGTCTCCCATATCTGGTTCGATTTGTTCTGTTGAGTTCTGTTGTTGTTTGCCTTTCTTGTTTGCACGATTCAATGCCTTGAAAACTTTCTCAAGATCTAATAATGCTTCAAACAATTCACCAGTTCTTGAGGAGTTTCTAGGCATGCACATGTAATACCCAAGACTACAAACGTTAGAATTTCAATGTATTCGGTTTATATTGAAGAAAAGTGACTACACAAAAAAATTTAGAACTTCTTTTAGCTGCAATTAATAACATCGTGAATTCCTCGGAAACGACGCCAAAATTTGATCACGCCCAACTATGCCTTATAAAAAGGACAAAGCGGTCACTGCAAATATATTCCGGTTAACAAGTCCGGAGTCAAATCTCACAGGGAATTAACCTATTAATCACAGCTATTGGACTTACATAAATACACGTATTCAATTTTCGGAGATATTTAAGTAATAGATTGGATGTTTACTTACTAAATATTACGTAATGAAAATGTAATAATTAAGAACTAACTACGAACGGGTTGTAGACAAGAATTGAAATGATCTAAGGTTCTGATTTCCCCTATTGTCGGAATCCTTTCCGCTACGTTTGCTATAAATTTGCCTAAGTCTTCTCTATTGATCATGAGCACTCTGACCGTCGTAACTCTCTCCCGAGTAATTACAACAATATACTAGATATATTCTCCCGAATTACGTTAGTTAGCCTTAAGTACAGCTCACTTAGATCGCACCCAAGGTTTCGTGATCCCTAATCCCACCTTTAAACCTTTCGTATTGATCCCTTATATACGTTAGGAGTGGTGTTATTCAACAACTACCTAAATATGCACTCTATCCCGAGTAATACATACTAAATAAGCACAGTCGATTAAGGGCCCTTTAATCAACAACAATCATAATATAGTTGAACAAATAGAGAAAATACTATGACAAATCTATATTAACATAACAAAAAAATCATCCTCCAATAGGTTCCATAAAAATCCTAGATTAGGAGTTTAGCTATGCATAATTGTTTTCACAATCATAACAATAGAATTCATCATCAATGATAAAACAAGAGGAAGAAAGATAAAAACTCTATGCCGAATCTTCCATCTTGCTCTTTGTCGTTCTTGCCTTCAAAATCCTTCCAAAAACCAAGATACCCTCTTTTTGGGCGAGCTGGGCTTCATATAGGTCAAGGAGAGTCGCCTCTGAACTTACAAATTTACCCCTGAAATAAAAATTCTCGGAGAGACGTGCGCGGCCGCGGATTAACCGCGGATGGACCGCGCATATTGCCCCTTGTTCTGCCTAACGAGCGCGGCCAGTGCGCGACCGCGGATCGACCGCGCATCTGGAGGAGATTTCTGCCTTCATTTTTTCTTTCTTCTTTTGCACGCGCTCACCTCCTTTTGGTCTTCATTGCTCCATATTAACTCCAAAACACTCTTTAATGTCCTCATAGTCCGGAATTGCTCCTACAAAGCATAAAGTTTTTAATTAGAGCAATTTGTTATCATTTAACATTCAATTATCAATAAAGTGCAGCTAAGTTAGAGCGTCAATAGTAGCTAAACTACATAATTATCGCCTACTATCATTTAGACAAAGAAGGCAGGGGAATAGTTATATTTAAAACTTTTAATTTGATTTTTTTTATCTCTATTTAATTTCTACACAAACGATTTGGATCTAGAATCAATGTTCAGAAGGATGCCTTTTTTGGTTTGCTTTGTATTTCTTTTCCATATAAAAGAGAAAATGGAGAGACAGAAGGCAACAAAGATAAGTACAATGGAAACTAAAAAATAGGATTAAAACAATTAGTGAGGTCAATAATGCTAAGGAACTAAAACGAGCAGTGGACCTTATGATTAGTAATTTGAGGAGCATGAGAACAGAATTAGTCACTGCCAATTTATAGTTTTTTGGTGAGATGAAGAGCAAATGTAAGATGATGACCGAACTTCTAAATCAAGTAAGTATTGTTTAACTCTCATTTAGTTTTGGAAATACAAAAAGCATCTCGAATTTGTTTTTTTCTTTTTTTTATTTCTTTTTAGCAAAAGTCTATTGTATTACATATGATAGGAGATAGGAAAGAAGGCAAGAAGGGTAAAAAATTGGACGACACATATTGTTTGAGAGATTCTCACCAGTTATAAATCTTAATCTCCGATTTAGTTTAAAAAATCACAATACAGTTTTTGTTTATTTGTGGTTTCACTATATGAAGTATTAGGCCAAAACGTGATTAGAAGGATTATTTTAATGTCTAAATTGCCCAATTTCGAAAATTTTGCTTGTGAATTAAGGGACGATATCACTTTTTGTCCCTCAGTTATCTTTACATTATGATTTTGGTCCTTGTGATTTCTACTTAACACATTTAACCTTTGAAATGTGTACTTTTTTCCCTTTATGTAGAAAGTATGCAATAAGTAAACTATTTGTAAAAACTATATTACCATCAAATATGGAGGAACCATTACAAGCTTAACATAACATATGAGTAATTAAATGGTGAAATTGTTAATTATTATGATAACTATGTTATCATTTTTACCCTTATACTAATTATGCTTATTCATAAATTTATCTGTAATTACCTATTAAATAATATAATTGTATAAATATTTTTTTACCTTAATACATAAAAGTTAAACTCTTTTAAAATTTACACTTACAATAAAGTGTGTCGACTCCTACATCAAAACTTGCTATTCTTTTTAAATGCATGGTATACTAGAGGTCGAATAAAGAAGCATTATGAAAAAGGAACCTTGATTTTAAGTTTCTGAATATTTCTTATTTACTATAGAGAGAGGCTTGTTCAATTTATTTTGTCAAAATGAACAGGCAAAAAAAGAATTAAATTCGATGCACTCTATTCTTCTAAAAAAATAAAAAATCTTGGGATATATAGAGCAACTAAATAAAGCCATACCATGAAGGATCAAAAGATGCAAATTGCAATGTTTCCACTTTCAATGCTTTAATTTTAAATTTCAGGCTCCTAATTATAATTTAAGTATAAATGTTGATTTGAGGTGAACCGATAAAAATTAGACTCGTAAGTCTAAATACAAAAAAGGTTCTACTGTTAAAAAGTTAAAAGGAGAAAGAGAAATAGAAAGAGAAGAAGTAAGGGTTTTTAAAGCCAAAATTTTCTCATTAAACTTTAAAAAGGCATTTATGCACAAAACTAGGCAACTAAAGCGAAGATAAAATAAATACCAGCACAAAACTACCCTATTCGTACAAATCACCCTAGTGACTATAAGGATAAAAAAAAATTGTAATTTAGTGTAAGAAATTTGGATATTAGTTCTTCGAAGCAAAATCGGCATATGTAGAAAGTGCTTACAAAATTATTACTCCTAAAACAACAATTTTTAATGAATACTTCAGAGGAAAATATAGTGAAGTAAAATTGATTGACTCTCCAACTAGTTACAATTACATGATAATATTTTATAATTCAGTCCGTTTGCATTGGCTTAATGCAAGTTTAATTTTATCTTTTTATAATCACTTCAGAACTTAATGACATTTTATTGATATAGTATTAAATTAATTAGCATTTTATTTGAATTATACATTTATTAAATTATAGACAAAGACAAATTTATGACTTCAGATTCATACATCTTAATTTTAATAAAAATAAATGAGACATATTTATGCTAAGTTTTTATCATTTGTTACTATCTTTGCAGTGTTCATGCTTACCTTTGAATATTCATAAATGGTTCTTGTTGTTAATTTAATTAAATACAAGAGATTTTGACACTCACTATGAGTATCGAATTAATTCGGGTTTATTGATGTTGGCCTAACAAGCATATTTAAGAAAAAAGTACTTAGTGCTATTAATATTTAATTACAATAAATATCAAATTCCACGATTATCGAAAATTAAAAATCGATTCTGCCAATAGAGAATGCCACGTGTATATCTGTATATGATCAGAACGTATTAACTCTTTTGATCAGTAGTGGACCTAAAATTTTGTACAAATGGGTTCAATCAAAATTACGGTAATCGATTGTATAAGTGGAGTGGTAAATGAAATGTGTGCAATGCTTTTTTTGTTCATGAAATCACTTCAAAATGAAGTCATTTTTTTCGAAAGGTAGGGAATTTTTTTTAAAAAAAATAACAAAGAAAATTCCATCCATTAATTTTTTAAATGTTTATCTTTATAAATTAACAAAATCTATTTCAGAAAATTCAGCAATTTTAACCAAAAAGTATTTAACCTACTTAAAAATTATACTATAAATTTAACATAGAAAATTGTTACAAACAAAAGGCATGAAAAAAAGAGAGTAATAAACTAAACTAATGTATACAAATTATTAAAGAAAAAGATATTTTACACCGAACTAAAGCTTTGAATATAATACAAATTAACAATTTCATATAAACTAAACTAAAGTAAAAGATTACAAGTAATTCGATAACGTGGTAGAACAAAAATTCACTTTTTCGAAAGGATTAAATTTTTCTGAAGTAAAATGAAGGAGTTTAATAAAAATAGCTTTTATTGGATTTTAAATATGAGAAAAAGAATCATAAAGCGATGTCAGAAAACAAAACAAAATATGTAAAAAGGGCCATAAGGTATGTTTCGAACTTGGGACCTTGGCCGTACGTTGAAGTTTGAGCCCGCTTTGGCAGTGCTCTACGGCTTCTGTTAGTGCGAAGTGGGTTCAGGTATTACAATATATATCAGGTTCATAATTTTCTGATAAAATTTAAAGGTAAAAATAATTAATTTTTCCAACGAAGCTTCGTTCAACTGAACCCCTTCGTACAAGGTGAGTCCGCCCCTGCCTCTGATAAAACAACATGCACATATTGTGCGTTTTCCTTTTTTTTTTTTCTTTTTCTTTTTCCTCCGCACTCTTTCATCTCTTCTTCTTCTGCTGTGTCTTGAGGCATACGCAACAATGGCACCCAGAGGCAGACCCAGAAAGGTTTGATGAATTTTTCAGCTTTTATTCTTTGCTTTATACTGTACTGTTTTCTTAACACTGTTGTTTGGTTTTTATTGGCAGCGATTAGGCCGAATAGACGCAGCAATTGATGCCATGACATCTTTCGGCTTTGATGAATCGCTAGTTCGGGAAACTGTGAATAAACTCCTCAAGGTAACGTTAATAATCTAATATAGCTGGTTAGGTTTCCCCAAAATAACGCCCTGTTTCATTGGCGATTTTTGGGGCTGATTAGGCGAGATTTTTTGTTTATTTATCGTTACTGTTTGTAGGAATACGGCGGAAATGAGGGATGGGCCTTTATTGAGGATTGTGGCTACAAAGAACTCATAGAAGCTATACTTCGCGATCTAGAGAGCAATGATGAAAGCACTACTAATTTACAAGAGGTACAATTGCTCGGAGACTCGAGTCACTTTTGATGAAAATATTATTTTGGGGAAAATGTTTTACTAAGAATTCTTCTGTGTTAATTATTTTCCTGCTTTGGTTGGATATAAAAGTAAATGACAATTGTAAGAGGAGTGGATAGGGTAGGAGGAGTGTGTTTTGATGATAATATTTACTATTTTAGTTTGACCACAATGTCGAGATGTTGATTAAAACAAGTAATATGAAGCAACGATGTCTGTGTTGATTGAAGCAAATACTAAAAATAATTCCATCAAGTAGAATATGTTTTCTGATGAAACATTTTTCACCTTTATCAATTAATAAGTAGCTAAGTTCATATTGTTTGGTTCTGAAAGGAGAAAAGTATGTCTATGCAGTTTTACCTGGATCCATTCCTTCAACATTTCTTATCCAAACTGGAAATGAAAACATTGCATTTACTGGAAATAAAAATTGATTCTCTGTAAACTCCTATTTAAGTAATTTATCCTAACCTATATAAGCATATTGGATAAAATCATCTTACCATATCGAAGTCCTTTATGTAAGCTATACAAGAAGGGTAGGACTTAGGACTAATTCTGTGCAATGTATATTTACAGATAAAATTGAGGGACAACTTGCTGATTGTTATTCCATTTAATTTGTTGGACGTGAAATTATTCTATTAAGGTGTAAATCCAAGTAATAATCCCTTCTTTGAACTGGAAATCAGCTAATAAAATATATCTGTTTAAATTGTTAACAAAATTCTGGTAGAAATATAGTTTCAAGAAAGTATTAGAAGTTGGAAATATTCCTTTCAGTTATTTTGCAAAACTCTTTCTTCTAAGGAGTTATGAAGTGGGAATTGCATGTTAATGTTTGTCTTTATTGAAGCATCCTGCATACTGTATTCTCGTGTCATCTAACTGTTGGAGTAATTGTCTTCATGTCAAGTGGAGTCCACTGCCCTAATTTTCATTGCTGGTGCGCTTGGTTACTTGAGCTTTTCATTTATCATCTCCCGTATTTGTGTTAGTCCATCAAATGGTCTCCTCTGCTGTTGGACAAAATGGTTCCTCAAATCTGTTAAGAGTACGTAAAACATCTCAATGAAATCGATATAGGTGGATCTTACTGCTAACTTAGGCTGCCCTAGTTGATCAGTACAAGCACCCGCACGAAAATTTTACAAATTTCTGGAATTTAATAGTAGAGCATTTTTCCAGAAATGATTTTCTGTTTCACAATTCACAAACAACTTACACTTAGAAGTTAGAACTGCTTTTAACATTGTTCATTTATATACCCTGCAGGAATGCACTAATAATGAATGTGTATCTGTGATTAAAATATATCTCATCACAATCTTTCATGAATTCCAAGGTTGAAAAGTATGGTTATCCAAAGCTTGTAGTTTCCTCTTCTGCATTGCTTGCAGCGGCTGATTGGCACATCCCAAAAGTTTACACTATGAAGTATGCAGACCTATATGCATATGAGCTGCAAATCTAGCACTTGATTGTTGAGGTGGTATGAGTCACATCAGAGTTACAGGGCGTGCCTTGTTCTTGACAGAGTCGTAACAGTACTTACTTTTTGAATCTTTGGGTGGTTCATAGAGAGTTTATCATGTTTACGATCATGATTTTCTAAGGAATGAGTACAAAGATGGAAGCTTGCCTCGTAGAATTTGTTAGAATAACTTTTATCCTTTGTTCTGCTCAGCAATATGCTATTTATTCTGCTTAGTCTGTTTTTCGTAATTGATTAGAGCGTAGTAGATGATGCAGTCACCTCTTTCTTCTCTTGTCATGTTTATATTATTTCTTACATTACTCCCCAGTGCTTTCTCTTAGTGGAATTCTTCTAGCTCATTACACTAACCTTCCTTGGTCTCTCAGAACTAAAACAAGCATCTTAGTTCGCAGCTTCGTCCGAAATCCTCTCCTGGTCTTGATATTGTCAGCTGTTAACAATAAGAGCTGCTTCTGAATCAAGTCCCCAATAAGCAATTAAGTATTCTATTTTTTTGCAAATGCCAAAAGACTTCTATCTCCACCCTTGTCCTCTGTATGATCCACCAATCAATTCCTAGATGGTCTTCTGCCTTTTTTTCATTTGTTTGTACTACAAAATAAAGAAGAAAAAGGACATTTGTATTTTTTATAGTCAAACTCCAGGATCTTTCTTTCACTTTTGAAACACATCTATAGTTCTACAACTACTAGTTTAAACTGTATGGTATCTTTAACTACACGGGACCATTTGCTATCTTCCTTGTATTGTATTTTTCAGGGAATCTCTGCTCAGGGTACGCTTAGTTGTTATTTCTGTTGCGGAAGCCAAATGTATATAGTGTGAATAAGTCACAACTACTATACCAAAAATTATGACAGCCACCAAATAATAAATAAGACAATAAAACAACAATAAAGGGAACACCAAAATTTACGAGGTTCGGCTAATTTTGCCTACTCCTCGGACACAACCAATATTTTATTCCACTCCAAAAATACAAGTGAAATAATACTAAAGAGAGAAGATACAAATGCCTTAAACAGATGAGAAGGCAAATGAGAGGTGTGTTATAAATCCTAAACATTAGGCCTTCTTTTATAGGGAGAAAAATCCCCCCAACTCTTCTCCCAACCGATGTGGGACTTTGGCATTTTGCCAAACTTCAACAAATCTCCACCTTGGCAAAATTCCACATTTTCAATTCTCTCTCAATAACAAATTTTGGTTGTGTCTTCATCTTCAATCTTCAGTGTTCAACAATGTTGATCAAATCCAAACAATGTTGAAACTTGACCGCAGTCACCACCTTTGTCAGCATATCAGCAGGATTCTCTGTAGTATGAATTTTCTTCACCGTGACTCCACCTTCTTCTATGATTTCTCGTACGAAATGATACCGAACATCAATGTGCTTCGTCCTTGCATGATAAACTTGGTTCTTCGCTAATTGAATAGCACTTTGACTATCACAAAAAATTGTGATACCTTTTTGTTCAACACCAAGCTCCTTTAGCAATCCTTGAAGCCAAATTGCCTCTTTCACAGCATCTGTAATAGCCATGTACTCTGCCTCTGTTGTAGACAAAGCAACTGTTGACTGCAAAGTAGACTTCCAACTAACTGGTGCCTTTGCAAAAGTAAACACATAACCAGTAGTTGATCTTCGTTTGTCCATATCACCCGCAAAATCTGAGTCACAATATCCAACTACAGACTGATTGTCTTCCTGCTCAAAAACTAACCCGACATCTACAGTATTATGAATATACCGTAGAATCCACTTCACAGCTTGCCAATGCTCCTTCCCTGGATTGTGCATATATCTGCTAATAACTCCAACAGCTTGTGAAATGTCAGGCCTTGTGCAAACCATTGCATACATCAAGCTACCAACAACATTTGCGTATGGTACCTTTGACATATACTCTCGTTCAGCTTCATCCATTGGCGACATAGTAGTACTTAGCTTAAAATGGGAAGCAAGTGGAGTACTAACTGGCTTAGTCTTGTCATCTATGCCAAAACGTTGAAGTACTCTCTTCAAATATTCCTTTTGAGATAAACAGAGTTTCTTTGAACGTCTATCTCTAATTATCTCCATGCCAAGAATTTTCTTTGCCTCACCCAAATCCTTCATCTCGAACTCCTTCTTCAGTTGAATCTTCAACTTATCAATTTCTTCCGAATTCTTGGAAGCTATCAACATATCATCAACATATAGGAGAAGATATACAAAGGAACCATCTTTAAGCTTGTGCAAATACACACAATGATCGTATTTGCTTCTCTTGTACCCTTGCCGCAACATAAACTCGTCAAATCGCTTGTACCATTGTCTAGAAGATTGTTTCAATCCGTACAACGATTTTTCAAGTTTGCACACCATATTTTCTTTTCCAGCAACTTTGAATCCTTCTGGCTGAGTCATGTAGATTTCCTCCTCCAAGTTTCCATGTAAAAACGCAGTTTTTACATCCATCTGAACTAGTTCCAAATTCAATTGTGCTACCAAAGCCAACATAATTCTAATGGAGGAATGTTTTACAATTGGAGAAAACACTTCATTGTAATCAATTCCCTCCTTCATGCTCTGATACCAATTGTTGCGGAAGCCAAATGTATATAGTGTGAATAAGTCACAACTACTATACCAAAAATTATGACAGTCACCAAATAATAAATAAGACAATAAAACAACAATAAAGGGAACACCAGAATTTACGAGGTTCGGCTAATTTTGCCTGCTCCTCGGACACAACCAATATTTTATTCCACTCCAAAAATACAAGTGAAATAATACTAAAGAGAGAAGATACAAATGCCTTAAACAGATGAGAAGGCAAATGAGAGGTGTGTATAAATCCTAAACATTAGGCCTTCTTTTATAGGGGGAAAAATCCTCCCAACTCTTCTCCCAACCGATGTGGGACTTTGGCATTTTGCCAAACTTCAACAATTTCAAGTTAAGCTTGTATAAATAGGAAATGAGCTACATGCCTTATTTTCTGTATTGCAGTGACTGCCTATTATATGAAATGCAATGATACAACAACAATGATGCTGATGAACAATTTTCACCTCTTCTTCAATACTGATATGACTGTTACTGATATAACTGCCTCTAGCATTATATGCATATGCTAGAATAGCTGAAGACTTTGAATTCTTATAACAGGGTGTCTCCTCACAAGATGAAAGAGCAGTAGAACCTGCTTTACCATGCACCATTAGTCCCTCCAGCACTCTTGGTGATTTCTCATGCAATGAAGCTGGCAATACTGTAGGAGAAACAGCATGCTCTGAGCTTGTCAATGCAGTAGGAGAACCAACACACGAAAAGCTTTGCAGCAACAGAAAAGACATTAGCAATACTGGTAAGGAACTGATTGTCTGTTCAGATTCTGCTTCTTGATCTGTGTAAATTTCTATGTCTATGGAGTAGTCATTTAGCTGCCAACTAACGGGAATCAGTTTAACAAAGTAGAAAAACATTCAGCGGAGCTAATGTGTGAGTAGCATGCATCAAGATCAGATAAACCAATTTAGTATACTGTATACCAACAGATTAGGGAAGATACAATTATTTTCTAGTGAACTGCAGCATTTTCATTTTTTTGCAATAGTTCACGGGTTCGAGCTGTGGAAGCAGCCACTAATGCTTGCATTAGGTTAGGCTGTCTACATCACACCTCTTGGGTGCGGCCCTTCCCCGGACCCTGCATGAACGCAGGATGTCTTCTGCACCGGGCTGCCCTTTTTCTGTTCACTCATGAAAGTTAAAATTGTGCTTCTTTTTGTTTATGAAACAGTATAAGGTGCCTATGTGACTTTAAGGTCCATATTTCTAACATTTCCCTAACAACCCCGTCTTGCAGAAGTATTTTGTTCCCTGCCAGCTGAAGGAGATGGAAATAGCTGGAAAGATGTAGGGGAGGACCAAATCTCTACCCAGAAGGAGACAGCTGATGCTGTTTGCCCTGATGGTCGAAATTTTGGGAATGAAGTGCAACCCGGGAGCAATGCTCATGTTTTTGCTCTACCTCCAACTCATTCCCCATGCCCAGTTAAATATCTCAAAATTTGTTCTGAGAGTCAAGTGCAATCAAGGAGTTTCTCTTTTGTTTCTAGTCCACTTCCAACTCCTTCCCTATGCCCAGTTAGACGTCTCCCTCCCCCTGCTGATCATCACCCCACAGCTCTTCCTTCCTCAAAGGTACAATTTTGAATTTGCTACGAATTTTACGTGAATTTTGAGTTTGCTATGATTCAGTAGCCTTTTAAACAATGTTCATGAGAAGTCATGATGTAAGCATTATGACTTGAAAGTTCTGTTTCAACCTATATCAACTGATACATTCATACTGTTTGATCATGAAAGGGGTTAAATCTGTCTATTCAATTTTACCTGGAACCATATTTCAGTATAGTTACCTACCCAAGTTACATTACATTGTTTCTTATACAAAGTGGAAAAGAAATCCTTGTCGTCGGCTGTGTATTGTGTCATCTAAGTTTTTTGATGAATAATTGTCCTTATGTCATGCTGAGTGACTGAGTCTACTGCCCATTTTTCCTCATTGAAGGTGTTTGGTTGCTTTTGCCTTTCATGTATTATCCCCCGTGTTTACAATAAACTGTGATAGACCATCAAATGGTGTCCTTTGCAGTTGGCATAAATGATTCCTAAAATATGTTAAAAGTTACATAAAGCATCTCATTAAAATCAATATAAGTGGATCTTACTGCTAACATAGGCTGTCCTTTGCATTTGGTGTACAGTATGAGCATCCCCTAGTCATTTACAAATTTCTTTGGAACTCGATACTAGAGTATTTGCTTGCAAATGATTTTCTGTGGCACAAATAAGTGAGACGTAGAAATAGAATGCTTTTAGCAGTTTGGATTCAAATATTCTGCAGGTCTGCACCAATAATGAATATGAATTGGTGATTAAAGTATATCTCATCACAATATTTCCTCAAGTCCAAGACTGATTGAATGTTATGATTTTGCAAAGCATGTAGTTTCCTTATCTGCATTGATTGCAGAGGCTGTTGGCACATGCCAAAAGCAGGAAAGTTTACACTATGTAGGCCTAACATATGAGGTGCAAATCTAGCACTTCATTGTTGAGGTGGTATTTGTCACCTCATACAGATATTTCAGGGCATGCCTTGTGATTGATAAACTTGAAATAGTACTTATTCTTTTCACCAACTTGCTATTTGGTCACATCTGGATGTTTTTCTTAATTGATTAGAGCATTTTAGAGTAATTTTGGACTAAGACAGACTTAAATGGAGCAACATCACAGTGAGGATTCATATAGCCGACCCAAACTTGCCTGGGATTGATGCATAGTTTGTTGTTGTTGTTGTTGATTAAAGCATGCTAAATGATGCAGTCACCTCTTTCTTCTCTTATTGTGTTTATCTTCTTTCTGGTTTTGCTTCAAGTGCTTTCTCTTAGTTGAATTTATCCAGCTCATCACACTTGCCTTCCTTGGTGACTTGGTCTCTCAGAACTAAAGGAAGCATTCTTCATCCCAGCTTCCTCCAAAATCATTACCTGGTTTTGAGATTGTCAGCTGTTAACAATAAGAGCTACTTCTGGATCAAGCCCAATAAGCAATTAAGTTTTCTTTTCTCTGTAAATGACGACCTTGAAAGACTTGTATTCCCACCCTTGTCCTCTGTATTCATTATATGATCCATAAGTCAATTCATAGATTGCCTTCTGCCTTTTATGATTTGTTAGTACTACAAGATATAGAAGAAGTAAGAAGCATATTTTTCCTTTTCTGTTTTTTTTTTAAAGTCAAACTCCAAGGTCTATATTTCGCTTTTGAACACATCTATTGTTATGCAACTGCTAGCCTAAATTATATGGTATCTTTAACTACAAAGGGCTGAGCCACATTTGCTTATCTTTCTTGGATCGTACTTTCTGGGAAATCTTTGTTCAGGCTACATGTCTGGTTAAGCTTGTATAAATAGGCGCTACATGTCTCATTTTCTGCATTCCCTTGAGTGCCAACTATATGAAAAACTCAATGATGCTGATGAAAATTTGTCACCTCTGCAACGATATTGATACGACTGTCAATGATAATTGCACCTGGAGTTCTATCTGCATATTCTGGAATAGCTGAAGACCTTGAATTAAAGCAGGGTTTCTCCTCACAAGATGAAAGAGCAGTAGAAGACACTGCTTCAGAAAGCACCATTGGCCCCTCGAGCACTCATCTTGATTCCACATGCAACAAAGCTGGCAATACTTAGGAGAAACAGCAAGCACTGTGCTTGTCAATGCAGTAGGAAAATCAACATACGAAGAGCTTTGCAGCAACAAACAAGACATTGGCAGTAGTGGTAAGGAGCTTAGTGCCTGTTCTAGTTCTGCTTCTGGAATTGTGTCTATGACTATGGAGTAGCTATTTAGCTGCCAAGCAACGGAAACTAGTTTAACAAAACATTCGGTCCAACTAATGCATCATAACATTAACATGCATCCTAGTCAGGTAAACGAATTCAGTACCATTACTGCATTCTTTTCTAGTGTAACTTGGATTGTAAGAATCCTGCTTCTTGATATGATTTTGAGGTCCATGTTGGAGTAGTAACAAAAACCCCGTTTTGCAGAAGTATTAAGTGTCCTGCCAGCTGAAGGAGATGGAAATAGGTGGAAGGACATAGGGGAGGACAAGACCTCTACCCAGATGGTTGATGGTGGAAGTGAAGTGCAAGCAGGGAGTGACTATCATGTTACCACTCCACCTCCAACTTCTTCCGCGTGCTCACTACTTACTAATCTCCCTCCCCCTGCAACTCTTCCTTCCTCAAAGCGAGTTTGCCTTGAGCCACCAAGAAGGCGCGTTCCTTGTTATGGCTGGATTGAAAGCGATGATGAAGAAGATGCCGATGACTTCATACAATTACCACCAATGAGACCAACAATAAATGCATAGAGATAGTACGACACAAATTGTTGACTTGAAAGTTGAAACCAACGGATCCCCTTTGAGATTGGTTTTGCAATTTAACGCTGTAGCACAATTTGGTTTTATTTTATTTTTCTTTTTGAGTTGTTTTATTTTACTTTTTATGACTATTTGACTTTGGTTACAGGAAAACAAAACGGGTTGTTTCCAGAAACGAGTTTTATTAAGTATTTGATTGTTCTGTTTTACTTTCAATAGCGTATTTGGACAAAAAATGCAAAGCAGTTACAGAAAAACAAAATATTTTGCTTCCTGAAACAAATAACTTTCTTTTCTTCTTCTTTTTCTGTCCCCTCGGCCCTCTATGCTAGTTCTCTTTTTATCCTGTTATGTTATGGTTACTATTTGTTTTTATTATTATCTTGCTGTATTGATTGCTTTTTCTTTCCTTGAGCTGGGGTCTATCACAATCAGCCTCTCTATCCTCAGGGTAGGGGTAAGGTCTGCATACACACTACCCTCTCCAGACCCTACTCGTGAGATTATATTGAGTTTGTTGTTGTTGTTTTAAATATTCAAAAATAGAATTTAGTAGAAAAAAGGTTATTTGGTCTATCCTTAGAATTATTAGTTATCATAATATGAAAGCGTTTAGATTTTCTTAAAGAGTTTTGTAATTTCTTTTGAATTTTTATAACACTAATGGTCTTCGAAGCTATTTTCTAGAATAAATTATAAACACGGTTACACGCAAGTGCTTTCAAACATAGAATTAGGAGAGTGTTTTTAAAACTAAGTCGTGAGTGAAGCAGTCTTCTAAAACAAAATACAAACACCTAGATTAACATGCAGTTTCATATAAGGCATTCATAATACGGGAAGTAATGTACATTATTCATATATAAATCCTTTTAAACCAATTAAAAGAAGGAATTACTCAAAAAAGAGTAGTGCCAGATCATGGGATACTTTTCAATTTTGATCTTTATTATCACTTTAATTATATTGGTAAAAATTAGAGAAAATTTCATTTATCCCTTTAACCTTTTGAGTTAGAAAACAAAATAGATCCTACACCTCTTCAATGAATAGACAAATCCCCTTAACAATAACGTCAACAGCCAAAATGAGAGTAATTGTTGGAACTTTTAAAATGTCAAAAATGATTCTCAAATTGAAATATAAATTATTTTGTATTTGGATAAATTAGAATAAGAAAATCTTGAAACAATTAGTTCATTTGTAGTGGTAATAATTTAGGGACTTTTATACAAATATGTAACTGCTTAGTATAAAATAAGCTCCAGCATTTAAAAAGTATTTTTCAGCACTTAATGCTTAAAAGCTACTTAAATTCAACCAATCCAATTTTTTTTAAGTTTCTGACAATGCTTTTTGGGGGATCTTAGTTAAACACCTTAAAATATGATTTATTCCCTCCCCNTTTTATTAATCAATTGTGAATAAAATTCTATTCATTCTCTTGATCTTCTCTCTAAATTGTTCTCCATGATTCGAGGGTTCAATCAATGTATTTCTCGAACATCGGATGATGTGAAGCTCCGCACAATGTATTTGATCTCCATGAAAGTCAGACAATATTTCGTATCGATCACGTGGAAGAACTTCTCTTGATCACTCTTTCTTGTTTCTTCAATCGAGGGCCAAAATGGCATATCTCTAGCAAAGAATTTGTGTGGATCTTGAAGTATTTGATTGTTAAAAAACATTGTCAAGAAGCATATTCCAACTGCATTTCGTGTTGATCATGAGGAAAAACGTCTCTTGATCACTTCGGTTTTGAAAAAGATATTATTTTTTGTCACGATCTATTTTTAATATTCCAAGTTTATGGAATTTATGTAACCATTTTTATAGGTGTGAGTTAAGATTTGGGACCGGGTAACTTCTAAGCAACCTTAATGGGCTCTTGGATTAAACAACATAAATGAACTTGTCTTGTTGGTGCCCAACTTAATGATCTCGCCCAAATGTAGGGAGTCTTCATCTAGTAAACTTTTTTATGTCTACAACAATATTCATATTTGTGATTTAATTATAATTTATAGACATTTTTTCTCACTGTCGACTAAACTTACAAAAAAAAAAAAACAACAACTATAAACCCACTAATTTCTTTGGGACCGTCGCGAAGTGCAGATAAAATCATACGGTTAAATGATAATCCATCCGTCTCATATTAACAGTTGTTGTTAAAAAAATAGTTATCTCAAATTATTTGTTAGTATTTTAGAAGTTCAAGACAAAACTGATATATTTTTCCCTTTTACCTTTAGTAATAATTGTTCTTGAAGATGGAGATAACACATAAATAGAATAAATATTCAATGAAGAGAGATTAAATCTTATGATATAAATAAGGGTAAAATAGTCCAATCCCTTTCCTAATTAATATTTCTTAAGGGACGTGTAAAATAGAAACACGGCACATAATATGAGACGGATGAGATATTTAATGAAATGGGCAAAGTCGAGAGCAAAAAATAAAAAGCCTAGAAGTACGAAATATCTGCGACACTTAGAAGACAGGCATCGAATGCCATGCTGAGATTATACTTTGGAGTTTGCATATTAGCTGCTTACGATGGTTAATTCCATTGATAAATTAATCCTCCCAAAAATACAGGACAATCTAGATTGCACAACTAAAAGATTTTGGGGAAAGAACATTAAAAAAATGTTTTTGTGTTGAACTACTACTGCTTTCGGTTTTTAGTTACATATATGAAATCTAGATATAGATTATCGTGTTAATTGGATTCCACCCCAACAAGTTGTTTCCTACTCTTGTTATTTGCTTGATTTTTTTTTTCCTTCTTTTTCTCTAGGAAAAAACCCACCTTTATGCGAGAATTTAAATGTGAATTTAGGCATTGATTTCTTAAAATAAAATGGATATTAAGAAACTACGTAACAAGTTACTTATTGTTGGGGGTTTAAGCTTGGTTTAGCTTAAAAGAAGGTGAATGAGAAATAGCGGAAAAAATAAAATTTTGATTTTCCCTCTCTCATTTACGTAATAGCCGCTTATTTGAACGGTCATCTTGAAGAGTTGCACCTCTTTATTTAAACCCAACCTGTTGGCTATAAATAGCAGGCCCAACACTAAGTGTGATTTGCTACCTATCATTGTGTTCGCTGAAACACTGAGGTTTGAATTACCGCTACACCAACGTGTAATCCGTTCTATCCCGGGAGGAAATAATCCATAACCTCGGGTACTAGGAAGGGATTAAGTTCCTTAAGGAAACACTGTGAATTCAGTAAGCTCGGATTAATTTCTGTTTCTTCTACATTTCTGTTTATACGTTATTTTTCTTCTCCAGAATTATTTTACAAATACAGTATACTAACAAGCTTAAGGAACTTAATTTTATATTCTGTATTTGTGTTATACATACTGTTCTGGAGACTAAAGTCTGTGTGATTTTCTACTCCCGTTTTGGAGATTAAAGCTTTCGTGGTTTTCTACTCCAATTGCTTACTTTAATGTATATTCTGTTTTGGTTTACTATCTGTTATTTGGAGATTAAAATCCTAGCGATTTTTTAATCCATTGGTGATTAAATCTACGTGATTTTCTGCTCCAGTTTTATTCGGTTTGAAGATATAAAAACTTTATCGTATATTAAACATTTATTTGTGTTATTCTTTTACAGAAATAACGACTGAGAACGGAAACCAACCTATTCCTATGGTGACTACCAATGCATCGACAAGCCGAACAACACCGGCATTGACACCGACACCGTCAAAAAGGCAAAAAAAAAATTCCGGGATTAATTTTAAGCTGTGCCAGCAGAAGATGTTCTTCTACTTGACGACTTTAAGTTTCATTGAGGAAGATGTTTCTGTTCTGCCTGACAAAACTCTACACAATGGACACTTTCTCGTGACTGAGGCGTGGAAGCATTCTGATTTTTTGTGCAAGAATTATATTCTTAGCGGACTGGAGGATGATCTGTATAACGTCTATAGTAATATGAAGGCGTCAAAAAAACTATGGATTGCGCTTGAAGAGAAATACAAAACTGAGGATGTCGGGTTAAAGAAATTTGTTACCGTAAAATTTTTGGCCTACAAAATATTAGATAGCAAGTATGTTAATACCCAAGTCCAAGAATTGCAAGTGATTATTCACGATCTCCTTGCTGAAGGTATAAGTCTAATTAATACTTATGTTGAAAATATTAATTATATTATTATTACTAATAGAATTTTCATTGAATGTCTTGTTATCAATGAAGCATTCCAAGTTGCAGCGATGATTGCGAAGTTGTCTCATTTGTGGAAGGACTTCAAAAATTACTTGAAACGCAAATGTTAAGGATCAAAGAGGAAAACAAAGCTGCTGAAAAAGAAAGGTTGTGGATACTCAATAATAATGGGAGCAAACATTGTTGAGGATGCTCCAGAAAATAATAAAAAGAGGAACAAGCCTTCTGGACCAAAAAGCAACCCAAGCAAGAAGCGGTTCAAAGGAAATTGCTACAACCGTGGGAAAGTTGGACACAAATCTGCAGATTGTCGTGCTCCAAGGAAAGACGAGAAGAAGGATCAAGCAAACATGGTTGAAAAACACGAGGATATTGATGACTTGTGTGCTATTTTTTCTGAATGCAACCTAGTGAAAAATCCTAAGGAATGGTAGATTTATTCTGGAGTCACTCGCCATGTTAGTGCTGTTAGAGAAGCGTTTGCTACATATTCTCCCGTTGGACTCGAAGAGATGCTTTCTATGGGAAATTCTACAACGGCCAAGATTGAAGGATGTGACAAGATATTTCTGAAAATGACTTCTGGCAAAGTGATGACTCCGAACAACGTCCTTCATGTTCCTGAAATTAGGAAAAACTTAGTCTCTAATGCACTTCTGGTCAAGAACGGGTTTAAGTGCATTTTTTATCTGATAAGATTGTAATAAGTAAGAACAAAATGTTTGTAGGAAAAGGTTGCCTTACTGAGGGCATTTTCAAACAGAATGTAATGGTCATTGAGAATAATAAAATTTCAGCTTCTTCTTACTTACTTGAGTCAAATGATTTATGGCATATATGTTTGGGACATATCAATTACAAAACCTTGCGAAAAATGGTCAATTTGGAATATTTGCCTAAATTTGAATGACAAATCAAAATGTCAAATATGTGTGTGGAATCTAAGTATATTAAACATCCTTATAAGTCAATTGAAAGGAATTCAAATCTTTTTGACTTAATTCACATAG